GAGCACTAGGTGTATATGGTGTACCTTTCTATGCATAAAGAAAATTACAGAAACACTTCCAGACAGAATACAAATCTTAAAAGAATACAGTAATAATAATAATAATAATAATGGTTTTGTGCATGTCGCACAGTAATGCCCATTTGTTTTTATGAAACATTGTATATACCTTGAATTTTTAATGTAATAGGCTTTATAGGGGTTGTTCATAATTATGAGTCCTATGTAAATCAGACATCTGTAACCTGGGTACTACCTATACTGATCCTTCTTTGTTTCCAATGTTTGCATTCCAATCACTAGTAATTATCAGTGCATCTTGATTTTATGTTTGATCAATTTAAGCTGCAGAAGTTGGTAAAAACCTTTAATTTCTTCATCTTTGGCATAAATCTGAAATAAGAGTCATATTAACTTGTCTTCCCTGGAGGCGTAAGGATATTATTCTATCACTGACAGTGTTGTACTTCAGGATAGGTCTTGAAATGTTCTTCATGATAAGGAATGCAACACCGTTCTTCTTCAATGTATCATTTTTGGCACAGATTATGTGACTGTCTACTTCAAAATGTTCAATACCAGTCCATTTCAGCTCACCAATGCCTAGAATATCAATCTTTATGTGTTCCATTTCATTTTTGACAACTTCTAATTTTCCTTGAGTAAATATGGTGAAAGGATACAATGCTGACACACACCTTTCTTGATTTTAAACCATGCACTATCCCATTGTTATGCTAGAACAGCTGCCTCTTGATCTATGTAAAGGTTTCTCATGAGCACAATTAAGTGTTCTGGAATTATCATTCTTTGCACTATTATCCATAATTTGTTATGCTGAGCACATAATCCAAGAAGCTGGACTAATGAAGAAGAACATGGCATCAGGATTGGAGGAAGACTCATGTCTTGGTTTTCTATTGCTGCTATAATAGAAATACCACACGTGGATGGCTTTAACAAACAGGAATTTATTCTCTTAACAGTTTAGGAGGCCAGAAGTCCAAATTTGGAGTGCTAGCTTTAGGGGCTGGGTGAAGGCTACTTGACCTTGGGCTTCAACTCTGCCTGTCGTTCTAGGCCCACTGGAGCAGAGGTCTCCTAACTGAGGCAGCTAATGGCTGCTGAGGCTGATGAACCCAAGGTCAGCAGGTAAAATGGCACAATCATAAGATTAGTAGCAATATGGCAGGCCACTGGTTCAAATCCAGGAACTGGCAATGAAGCCTTGGCCAAATGCAGGATCCCAATGTGCCAAAAAGCTAGTGACCTTTTGCAAAGCTTCATGGTATACACTGGAAGTAGGCCATACCCCAAAGGAAACTTCCTTTCAACTGATAGGTGCTCACAGCAGATTCCACCATAGAGATAGTTACAATCTCATCATGGGTAACCACATCCAGCTGCCAAGCCACTCAAAACCACTGCCCAACCAAGATGACAGACAATCTTAACTACCACAACTCATTAATAACCTGAAATATGCAAATGACACAACCTTCCCTGTTAAAAGTGAAGAAGACTTGAAGCACTTACTGATGAAGATCAAAGACTACAGCCTTCAGTATGGGTTACAGCTAAACATGACAAAAATCCTCACAACTGGACCAAAAAGGAACATCACAGTAAAAGGAGATAATATTGAAGTTGTCAAAGATTTCATTTTACTTGGATCCACAATCAATGACCATGGAAGCAGCAGTTAAGATATCAGATGGTGTTCGTGCTGCAAAATGTGCTCGTGTTATTAAAGAGTGAAGATGTCACTTTGAAGACTTAGGTGTGCCTGACCCAAGCCATGGTATTTTCAATAACCTCATATTCATGGGAAAGCTGGATAATGAATTAAGGAAGATCAAAGAAGAACTGATGAATTTGAATTATGGTATTGGTGAAGAATACTGAAAATACCACAGACTGCCAGAAAAACAAACACATCTATCTTGTAGTAAGTTCAGCCAGTATGCTCCTTAAAGTGAGAACAGACTTTGTCTCACATACTTTGGTCATACTGTTAGACAGGACCATTCCCTAGGGAAAGATACCATGCATGGTAAAGAAGAGGGTCAGCAAAAAAGGGGAGACCCTCAATGAGATGGACTGACAAAGTGGCTGTAACAATGGGATCAAGCATAGCAAGGATTGTGAGGATGGCACAAGACCCAGGCAGTGTTTTGTTCTGTTGTACACAGGGTCACTATGAGTTGGAACTGAGTCAACCACATCTAACAACAATAATTTTCTTGGAATCATACTTCCTACATTCCACGTTCCAATTACTAATGGATGTTTGCAGCTGTTTCTTCTAATTTTAAGTGATGCCACATTGACAAATGAAGGTCTTGAAAGCTTTACTCTTTCTACATCATCAAGGTAGAGTCTACTTTGAGGAGCTAGGTCTTTCTTGGTTGTATTCTGTATACCTTCCAACCGGAGGCACTCATCTTCTGACACTACAAAGACAATATTCCAACCACTGCTATCCACAAGGTTTTCACTGACCAATCTTTTTTGGAAGTAGACTGCCAGGTTCTTCTTCCTCATCTTAGCCTGGAAGCTCCACTGAAACCTGTTCACTGTTGCTGACCATGCTGGTATTGGAAATACTGGTGGCATTGCTTCCAGCATCACAGAAACATACAAGCCACCACAGTATTTCAAATTGACAGACAAGTGGCAGGGTGCTAAATATACCAAGGTGTGACCATATCATGGGATATTATGATGTCTTTTAATGCTGTGATGCTCTGTGGCAGAGTAGAATCATTCTCTAGAGTTCAAAGGAAGAGCATTACTTTTGAAACCCAGAGAGTCAAAAACAACCACCTTTGTAACAAAAAAAGAGAATGGAGCCAATCCAGATATGGAATCTCTCTTCTTAAAGGCAAAGCAAATCATTGCCCTGGCCAAGGTACCTTTACTATGCTTTGCAAATAATAATAATAATAATAATAACATACCATTACTCAACATTTACTAAATAATTACTCTGAAGCAGGTACTGTTTAAGTTCCTTAATCCTTACAACAAAGTGCAAGGTAGAAACTGTTATTATCCTTTTTCACAGAACAGGAGATTGAGGCCCTGTGGTGGTTAAGTTTGTGTGTCAACTTGGCTGGGCCTGGTTGAGTGGCTGAGCAGTTGGATGTAGTTATTTCCCATGGTGAGACTGGTAACCAACTCCATGGTGGAATCTATTGAGCAGCTGAGTAGCTGCTTTGGGTATGTGGACTGCTTTGCGTATATGAGAAACAGCTTTGGGAATGGTCTCTAGCTTATGGCATGCTTGAACCCTGTATGTAGCTGTGTTGTTGTTCAGCAGCCTGTCATGCTCTGCCAACCTTGGGACTTTCAATGGACTTGAATTAATGGCCTGCCATGTGGTTTGGTAACATTGGGACTATGCCTTTTTACCTGTCAACCTTGGGCTTGTCAGTGTCAGCAGTCAGCAGTCAGCAGCTGTCCGCGTGAAAAAAAGCCTCTAGCTCCAGTGGGCTGGGAGCAGGAGGCTGAGCTAAAAGCCCAAGATTGAGGGGCTTTCACCCAGCCCCTAGAGCCCGGCACTTTGAACTCAGACTTCTTGCCTCCAAAACCATAAGAGAATAAACTCCTGTTTGTTCAAGCCACGCCATTTGTTGGTATATTCTTGTCAGAGTGCACTAGGTAACCAAAACAGGCCCCAAGACACAGAGCTGGCAAGCAACAGAGCCAAAATTCACACTCAAGCAATGGCTCCAAAGTGTGTGATTTTAACCATTCCATTCTATTGCACCTCAGTCAACATACTCATGTCTATGAGAACATGCAGACTTACAATGATACATTCACTTGTCTACTTCCATTTCTCAATTTTGAACTCCTTAAAGACAGGGTCCTATTTTATAATCTATTATCTTCACAGTCCCTGGTAACAAATCAGAACCAAACTCACTGCTGTCGAGTTGGATCCAACTCACAGCGACCCCTCCTTGGGTTTCTGAGACAGTATCACTACAGAAGTAGATTGCCCAATCTTCCTTCCAAGGAGTAGCTGGTGGGTTTGAACTGCCAGCTTTCTGGTTAGCAGTCAAATGCCTTAGACACTACGCTACCAGAGCTCCCTAGTAGGACTGAATAAATACCGTCAATAAGAATGAACAGCCTTGGTATGTGCTCCTGGCCTTGTGCCAGATGCTTAAATCCATAATTTTATTTCATCCATACAACATCCCTATGAGGCAGGCACCATAGTCCTTATTTGACAGATAGGCAAGCTGAGGCTCAAAGAAGTTGGTTGACTTGCTCCACTAGTGGCACTGAATGAGAACCCACATCTGACTGACTTTGTAAGAGCTTGAGTCCTCAAGCCCTCTACTTTACTATTCAACTCTTCATCAAAGCTAATGCAAGACTATTATTTTAGGGCCTGGTAACTAATTGTTGCAAAGAACTCAGAAATCCTGAGGTGAGAAATGAGATTTGATACAACTATGGTCATTACATTCAACCTGCCAGGACAGGAATGGTACTATTCTCTAATTCATTCATTAATTAATTGCAAATGTTCATTATGGCAGGGTGGTAGGTGGAACAGGGGTGAGCAAGATAAGGTCCTGCCCTCCCAGAGTCACATTCTAGTGGGCATGTGACTCACACTAATAAGAGCTCAATTACACACTGAGGAAAGGAAAGGAAACTGGTTCTATGGGAGCCACTAAGAAAAGATGGTCAAAGGAAGGCCTCAGCTGAGCTTTTATTGTGCAGGAGGAGGAAAAAGGCTCAGCTGTTTGCCCACAGATCTGTGATCACTGGCCCCTGCCTTTCATTCTCAGCCATGCTGCTTCCTGTCCTATTAGGGTCACTCATCAATGGTACCTGGGAGAGCACAAAGACACACAGTTGTCGAGTCCACATAAGGCCAGCAGCCCACCAAGACAGGCCAAGGTATCTACCCCGAGCAGCAAGGGGATGGTCTGGGATGTGCCCTGAGCACCAGGCCGGCCCTGAGCAGAAGGACTCACGTTTCTCTGAGGACTGTACAGCGTGGAAGAGCGTCAGGGGCCTCTCGCTGCACGATGGGGGCTTGGAGTCACTGCTCTTCTTTCGAGACAGGTGCAGCTGGGCATTGGTGAGTGACACATCTGGCATGGTGTTAAATATCTGCAAAGAAAGTTTCACAGAAAGGTCACACACTTCTGTGAATCGAGGAGAAGGCACAAGGCTGAACCAGTACAACTGAAGGCTTGGAGGTATCTTACAATCAACAGGAAAAGATCTAAAAAGACCATCAGCATTTAATCAGGACTTTACTTTAAATATTGTTAGGAAATGACATTAAATATTTTCTTCTGGAGGCTTATCTCAGAGTTTGGGAAACATTCACTTCCATTTCTAACCACCCCTGTTATAAATTCAACTGATCTTTCTGTTGTTCTCTTGAAGGGAGATATAAAGTAACTGTGCTAAGAATAAGCCATTTTTTGTTAATCCTACATAATATTTTTTTAAATTTTTATTGTGGTGAAATATATATAAGAAAACACTTGCCATTTCAACCACTTTTACACGTGCAATTCAGTGATATTAATTACATTTCACCAGGTTATGCAACAATCACTACTCTGATTCTGATAAATTTCTTTTATCATCCTTAACAAAAACCCAGCAGCTCTTAAGTACTTAAAGGAGCTTTGGTGGTGCAGTGCCTAAGGCATCTGATTGCTAACCAGCCACTTCAGAAAGGAAGACAGGGCAATCTGCTTCAGTAAAGATTTACCACGTGGGAAGTCCAATGGAGGTCACTACGAGTCAGAATTGATTGGATGGCAGTGGTGGGTGGGGTCAGTACTTAAACTACAAACTCCATAATGTAGAGATATCAATGTTAGGATTTAGATTTTCATTTCTTCTGAGCTTTCGTAAGCTTTTATTAATATATTTTTTTAAAGTCGCTGTTAAAAAAAATTGATAGATAAAATAGTAACGTCTCATCTTTTTTCCCACAGGTAAAACTGGGGTAGAATACAATAATAACTGCTAACATGTATACGGTGCTTACCATGACTACAGTCCCCCCTGCACTGTGTGACTCTTAGAGACCAGTCCCTGGACCTGGTGCTTCACACTCAGTTCTCAGCAATACTGTGCAACAGTTGCTGCCCTCACCATTTTACACTGAAGAACTGAGGTACAGGAAAGTTCAATAAATTGCTACAACTATAGACATAATTACAGTTGATCACATAGGTTTTTTCCAGATTCCTTTTGAAAAGAATATAATAGCACTCATTCATTTCATCTACAAAGAACTTTCAAGGATTTACTTTATACCAGGCACTCTGAATATCACTGAATGAGGAAAGGATGGCCCCAGCTTTCAGAGTCTGCATTCCAGAAGCTACCATCTAGTGCATTTTTGCCATGTCAGATGCTGGATTAAATGAATTATCTCATTTAATGGCAAAATACACTTTTAAAGAAATCACTAGATTACACTCCTTAGTCTTGTACCTTCCAGATTTCACTAATATCATAACATTTTCTTCCTCATTAAAAAAATCTTCAAAAGATGATTCATAATGGCTGCACACACTCCCGCTATACTGAGATATCAAGAGCCCTAGATGGCACAAATGGTTTGTTTATGGCTAGTAACTGAAGAGTTGGTGGTTTGAACCCAACTCAGTAGGACCACGAAACAGAAGACTTGGCAATCTGCTTCCATAAAATGACAGACAAGAAGCCCTACAGCCTAGAAGTTCTACTCTAGTAAGACATGGGATCATGATGAGTTGCAAATGACTCAGTGGCACCCAACAACAACAACAACAACATATTAAGATATCAGTCACTAGCATCTCTTACTCTTTGTAGTTAGCCCTCTTCTAAGCGTTCTCTTTCAGAGGAGGGAAAGAGAATAGGATGAATAATAGGAGGGTGGCAATGGCACCTTCACCTTTGGGTGGCCCCAGATATACCAAAGTCTTTCTCACGGTCCTCTCCTGCAGAACTTAAAAGCTTATAAATTGAAAGCAAACTTGTAAGAATCGTAAATATTTCAGTCAAAAGAGCTGCTCTCTATGGGCTGGCAGGTCCTTGGGCTCCAATGATGCCAGCCAGCTGGTTAAGTCAATCTTGGTCTTAAACACAGCTGTCTGAAAACAGTATTATCATATTTTCACTAGAGGATTGAAAATTTTCAACAAAATAAACTGCATCACTACATAGCTGAATTCAACTAGGGCTGGGGGATAAAGGAGAGAAAAAGATTTAAAGCAAAAACAAAAATAACAACAAGGTTCCAGAGGAGTAAGAACCCCTAAAAAGTAAGTTTACCAGTTCTATACATGCTTTTCCACTATTAATCTGTCAGTTTGTTGTACTGTGGTGGCATGCACATTGCTGTAAGGCTGGAGGCTATACCATCAGTATTTCAAATACCAGCAGGGTCACCCATGGTAGATAGGTTTCCACACAGCTTCCAGACTAAGACAGACTGGGAAGAATGATGGGACCATCCACTACTGAAAGAACTGGATACTAAAAACCTTATGAATAGCAGTGAAACACTTTCTGATACAGTACTGGAAAACTTTATGAAGACCTGTGAAACACTGTCTGATATAGTGCAGGAAGATGAGCCCCTCAGGTTGGAAGGCACTCAAGAAACGACTGCAGAAGAGCTGCCTCCTCAAAGTAGAGTTGACCTTAATGACATGGATGAAATAAAGCTTTTGGGACCTTCATATGCTAATGGGGCACAACTCCAAATGGGAAGAAACAACTGCAAATATTCATTAATCAGAATATGGAATGTACAAAGTATGAATCTAGGAAAATAGGAAGTTGTCAAAAATGAAGTAGAATGCATAGAGATCACTATCTTAGGAATTAGTGAGCTAAAATGGACTGGTATTGGCCAGTTTGAATTGGACAATCATATGTAAGGCACTTGACTGCTAAACAGAAGGCTGGTTGTTCAAACCCACCAGCCGCTCCTTGGAAGAAAGGCTCCGAAACCTACTTTCGTAGTGATACTGCCTTGGAAACCCAAGGAGGGGTCACTATGAGTCGGGTTCGACTCGACAGCATACAACAACAACAACAACATGGTCTACTATTTGCAACAACAAATTGCAGAGGAATGGTGTCATATTCACTGTCAAAAAGACTGTTTCAAGATCTATCCTGAAGTACAATGCTGTCAGTGATAGGATAATGTCCACACACCTACAAGGAAGACCAGTTAATACTACTGTCATTCAAATTTATGCACCAACCACCAAAACAAAAGATGAAGAAAGTGAAGATTTTTACCAACTTCTGCAGTCTGAAATTGATCAAACATGCAATCAAGATGTATTGATTATTGCTAGTGATTAGAAAGCAAAAGTTGGAAATGAAGAAGAATCATCAGTAGTTGGAAAATATGGCCTTGGTGACAGAAATGATACCAGAGATTACATGACATAATTTTTTAAGACCAAGGACTTATTCACTACAAATACATTTTTTTTCCCCAGCATAAATGGTGACTATACAAGTGGCCCTCACTAGATGGAATAAACAGAAATCAAGTTGACTACATCTGTAGAAAAAGGAGATAGAGATCAGTCAAAACAGGGCCAGGAGCTGCCTGTGGGAAAGACCAACAGTTGCTCATATGCAAGTTCAAGCTGAAGTTGAAGAATATTGAAACAAGCCCATGAGAGCTAAAACATGATCTTGACTATATCCCACATGAATTAAGAGACCATCTGAAGAACTGATTTGACAATGACCAAAAACCAGAAGAACTGGGAGATGTGATCAAGAACATCATACACGAAGAAAGCAAAAGGTCACTGAAAAAAACAGGAAAGGAAGAAAAGACCAAAATGGATACCAGAAGAGACTCAGAAACTTGCTCTTGAGCAGAGAGTAGCTAAACCAAAAGGAAGAAGTGATAAAATGAAAGAGCTGAACAGCAGCTCGAGAAAACAAAATAAAGTATTATAATGAAATGTGCAAAGACCTGGAATTAGAAAACCAAAAGGGAAGAACATAGTTGGCATTTCTCAAGCTGAAAGAACTGAAGAAAAAAAATCAAGCCTTGAATTGCAATACTGAAGGATGCTATGGGCAAAATATTGAATGGTGCAGGAAGCATCAAAGAATATGAAAGGAATATACAGAGTTACTGTACCACAAGAATTGGTTGACATTCAGTCATTTCAGGAGGTATCATATGATCAAGAACCGATGGTACTGAAGGAAGATGTCAAAGCTACGCTGAAGGAATTGGCCAAAAAAAAAAAAGAAAGAAAGAAAGAAAAGAAAACCAAGGCTCCAGGAATTGACGGAATATCCATCGAGATATTTCAAGAAACAGATGCAGCTCTGGAGGCATTTACTCATCTATGCCAGGAAATTTGGAAGACATATCTGGCCAACCCATTGGAAAAGATCTATACTTATGCCCATTCCAAAGAAAGGTGATCCCACAGAATGTGGAAATTATTGAACAATAATATCGTTAATATCACACACAAGTAAAATTTTGCTGAAGATAATTAAAAAATGATTGTAGCAGTATATTGACAGGAAAAGTTCAAGAAATAAAAGCTCGATTCAGAAGAGGATGTGGAATTAGGGATATCATTGCTGATATCAGATGGGTCTTAGCTGAAAGCAAAGAATACCAGAAAGATGTTTGCCTATGTTTCATTGACTATGTAAAGGCATTCGACTGTGGATCGTAACAAATTATGGGTAACATTGGGAAAAATGGGAATTGTGTTCATGAGAAACCTATATAGAGACCAAGAGGCTGTCATCTGAAAAAAACAAGGGGATACTGCATGGTTTACAATCAAGAATGGTGTGCGTCAGGGTTACACCATACTTATTTAATCTGTATCCTGAATGAATAACACTAGAAGCCAGTTGATATGAAGAAGACTGTGACATCAGGGTTGAAGGAAGACTCATTAACAACTTGCGATACAGATGACACAATTTTGCTTACTCAAAGTGAAGAGGACTTGAAGCACTTATTGATAAAGATCAAAGAATACACAGTCTTCAGTATGGATTATACTTCAACATAAAGAAAACAAAAATCCTCACAACTGGACCAATAAGCAACATCAAAATAAATAGAGAAAAGACTGACGTTGTGA